ACCGGAATCCGGGGCCTGCGTGCCCCTGACGTCAGTACGCACTGGCCCCGCCTCCCGCCCCGTCGGGCGGCCTTCAGCCGGGAGAGGGATTCGGTGCCGGGACCTACGGGGGCGGCGATGGTCAGAAATTAGTTGGAGGAGCTTGGAACGCGGAGAGTTAGGTGACCCGGCAGAGCTCAACCAGCTTTTTCACTGGAGCGACATTGGGCAGGATGTAGGATTAGGAACACATGACAAAAACAAACAAAAAAAAGGTTAGGTGTCTAGGAATGCAAGATTTTATGAAGAAAAAACATATAAAGTTTTGACAGAGGTAAACGATGGACAACTACACCATGACCATGTACAGGCTGAGTATGGTGAAGGTGTGTGAAAAGAAAATGGTTGAATTATCTCTAATGTCAAGTGAAAAAAAAAGAAGCCACAGATTACATACAACATGCCAGCATTGTATAAAGTTCAAAAACACGTAAAATGTAATGAACAACTGAAAGATAAAGAGCAAATTTGGAAAAGTGTTACACAGCATAATCTTTAGTTGAAATGGTAATATTCTGTTTCTTAATAGAACACAGGTTTTATTTTTCCTTGTACCTTACACCTACATAATATACTAGTGGCCCAGTGCACAAACTTGTGCATGGGTGGGGTCTGGCCAGCCTGTCCCGATAGGGCCGATCAGGTGGGCTGGCCAGGGGGAGGGGCCATAGGCAGCTGGTCGAACTCACAGTCAAGGGGACAATTTGCACATTAGCTTTTTATTATATAGGATATACCTGTTAGCTTTTTTTAAAATGTATTTTATTGGTTTTTTTACCAGAAGAAAGGGAGAGGGATAGAGTTAGAAACTACGAGGAGAGTGGGGTTAGGAAAGACAGGAACGGGCAGCATGACAACTTTAAGAGGGAAAGAAGGACATCCGAAATAAGTGGGCTGATCAACGAAAGGAAATGTGGCTGGTGTAGGCAGTTACAGACCGGAAACATCATTTGAGATAAAAAGCCGGGAGAGGGATTTGGAGAGAGAAACATCGACCAGCTGCCTCCTGCACACCCCCCACTGGGAATGTGCTGGCAACCAAGGTACATGTCCCTGACCGGAATCGAACCTGGGACCCTTCAGCCCCCAGGCCGACGCTCTATCCACTAAGCCAAACCGGTCAGGCCTTAAATTGTTTTTGCCTGTTTGTGTACTTTATGACTTCTTTTACTCTCATTATGTTTGTGAGATTCAATCTGGTTGTATATCACGGTGGTTGGTGCATTCTCATTGCTATCGAATGGTCCATTGTCTAACAATGCCACAGTTTATTTAGCTATTATACAGTTGTACATTAGATATAGCCTTTGGTATTCATGGACTGTTAGGGTCACCAGAGGAGGAACTCACGAGGCCAAAATGGTAAGGGATTGTAAATTTACTAGAGGCCCAGTGCGCGGATTTGTGCACTGGTGGGGTCCCTCAGCCTGGCTTATGGGGATCAGTGGACCTCCTCACTGCTGCAGCCCAACCTTACCCACCAGCTCATTGGGCTCTAGCCTGCTGATTGCCTCGATCCCACACAGCACAAAGAAGTAGTGTGCGAAGCTGCAGGTGGCTGGGGAGGAGCTGCAGGGGGAGTGTCTGAGGGAGAGGCTTCTGCCTCTGATGCAGCTGAGCTCCCCATGAGCTGGCCAGGGGTCTTCTGGTGCCTGTCTGTCATCTGAGCCACACTCCTGCTATGGGAGCACACTGACCACCAGGGGGCAGCTCCTGCATTAAGTGTTTGCGCCCTGGTGATCAGATTGCTTCATAGTGACCGGCTGGTCCACCAATGAT